CTAGACTCACTCTTAAAGTGCCTCTGAGTCTTTATTCAACCAACATGCATGCACCCATACACCCACGCAGCAACAGTGAGTCAAGTCTTTAATAAGATGTTCCCTTTACCAGTTTGGATCTGGTCTCTGCCATCATATGTAAGGTGGTATTGGACTTAGGCAGGTGTCCCAAACCAGCACAAGGGTCCAAGACAGTGAGTTGTTGAGGGGGAGGACAGGCTAGGAAATAAAGAAGATGAGAAATGAAGACAAAAGCAATAGCTGGGACCAGGAGGTCTTCTATAAGCTGATGACTATGCCAAGCAAGTATATTAAGAAGTACAGCATCATATATACTATTTGAGGAGGGGTGGAGGGGATGACCAAGGTCAGCAGAGAGCTAAGTTAGACAATGTTGACAAAGAGAACACAGGATACCCCAGACACAGCTGCCTAAGGACTGATAACCACAGCCTAAGGAGAAGAGTTGGGTCCCTAGAAGCCAAAATCTTGATTCATGAGGCACTGGCCCCAGCCCTACACCAGCCTTGCCAAGTCAGCTCCTGGACAAGCACACAGAACAAACATTCCTTTGTCCTTCCATCAGAGCCTCCAAGAAAGTCCTGAGTTGGCCAGGCTCCCTGCGGAGGCCCACAAAGGTTTCCTAGTGAAACCTGGGCTTGCTTTACCCAGCAGGGCTACATTAGATTATGGCTTGACCACGTGTGTCCACATGTTACCAGGTGATTGGAAGGGTCTGCACTTGGCTGTGCTAGGGGGAGGTCTTTTGCTCCACCACTTGGCATTCCTATAAAAGGCCCTTTAGAAGCTACAGGAGGGGCAGGTGGATATTGATCCAGGCCCTCCTGAGGCTATCCTGTGTTTCTGTTTCCCTCCCTCTATCTTTCTACCTAATATCTCTTATCCCTCTCTCCTCAAGAGTACCCTGGAGAAAAAGTGGGGACAGGTTCCCCCACAGGTCCCCACCGGCAAGACCTTTTTGTTAACTGCATGTCTTACTGGAAGCTGAGAAACAACAGCTACCAAAGGGAAGGTCCCTTCAGGGGTTATCGATTTGTGACCAAGCACAGTGGCTTCCTGACTTAATGAATGCAGAGCCAACAAAGCACAGCGAACACACGCAAGATGAAGGCAGGGTTTTTGTTGCCTGCAGGAGGACTTGGAAGGAAGGCACAGTTTCCAAGAACAGCACACTCTTGAGAAAGGTGAGGGATTTATCTGGGAAGCTCACACATGTTCATGTGGGGAAGGCACTTAGGGATGGGCACATTCCTGAGCATGCCCAGTGTCCACAGGAAGTCATAGTCCAAGAAAAAAAAGATCACAGAATGCCCCTAAAACATTACAATGATGTAAAAGCAGTGGGAAGGACAATTTTCTGGGTATATTAATCTTGCAATGTCTCCGTCTTAACAGGAACAGGAACTTGCTGGTCACTCCTGGCTTACATCATCAGTTGGCAACAACTGTGGCTAGGAGAGAAAAAGCATTGCCCAGTCTACCTAGACTTTCAAAAGAGGTAATGCAGAGGCTCTGGAAGAAAACTTCCTTTTCCTCAGGTTCCTCCCCCAGCTTTGTGGTTGCTTAGCAACCTGAGCCACCTCTGGAGTGAATGCTGGATTTGCTTGCTCTTCTAGGCTGTCCTGTTTATTTCTAACCTGCTCAGATTTCACGGAATTCAAAAAAATAAACACCAAACAGTCCTCCAACTTTTTATGTGAGCGTGTTGAGGACCCCTTTGAGGACTTAGAGCAGATCTGACTGCAGACCTACCAACAGACTTTCTCACTCAAGGCAGTATTTCTTTTCTCCCTAAATCACCACAGCCAAGTAAGCAAACTAGACCAAATGATTCCTATTGGCCAATGCCGGTCAGCTTGCTCCACCCTGTGTAGCTTTTCCTCCATAAACGCCAATAAAAGCTCTGCCTCAGTCTCCCCTCCCAGTTGACTTTGCTTTTCCTGGGCACTCGGGCTAGCCTGGACTTTTACTATGTAGCCCAGAATGACCTTAAGCTTGTGATTATCTGACCTCAGCCTCCTGAATGCTTCCACGGCCAACTTTCCACGCTCATTCTTGTCTTCTGCCACTTGACCCCTCGGCGCTGTCTTGTATGCAGGGATCTGTGACTGTTTAACTGTCTTCTAAGCAAGCCATGTTCTGTTCTGGTCCTGTGCCTGCAAGGTTGTGGCCATGCAACCTCCACCATCTGAATCCTTAGTACATTACAGCTATCAAAGAAAGAGGTAGCGAGAGAATGGGACAGAAGATAAGCCAAGTGTCTAACTCTCCTCTGCAAAGCCTTGATGAGGAGGGAGAAAACCGAGCACTAGGAGACCATCTTTCTGTTTGGGAAGAGCCTACTGGAGAAGGGCCAATGGTGGAAATGGTCACTAGAGTAGGGGGACCTCTGATGGCAATGACTTCAGTCACAACTGGCAGTCTAAATGAGCCTCCGAAGAGCAAAGATGAGAGGGTTTAGGATATTAGGATGTTATCCCCAAAGGAGATTAGGGCTTGAGCGGTAACTCAGCTGGTGGAATGTCTGCATTTCATGCATGGAGCCCTGGGCTCCCTAAAATTCATCAGTCTATCAAAAAATATGAAAAAAGTGAGTAAAACAAGGACGAGGTTGCAGGTGCTCGGCTGGCAGCTTGTTTCTAACAATTATGGGAACATTCACAGCTCTCAGAAACATCTGCTAATGAGTCGCTCACGGCACGGTGTGCCTGTCAGCTCGGCACATGCTTAGTAGAGGCAAAAGGATTGGACCGTCAAGGTAACCCTCTGCTATAGGCCAGCCTGAGCTACATAAAAACAAGTTATTCAGACAAGAAAAGCAGGGGACTGTCACCCAAGCTGACTTTTACTTGCTACAGATTCTAATGCCCTGCTAGTGTGAACTCTAGAATCACTGTGATTATAATCACGGTGAGGACATTCAGACAGCGGCAGAGGACCATGTGACCGCATCTGAAGACCTGTTCCAGTAATGACTCCTCTAGATGAACTGCAGTGGTCTTGGAAAGCCCTGCTCCTAAGTCAGGTGGGGCCAGGAACTCTAGATTACACTGCAGCCATTTCACACAGACTAGAGTGGTAGTCCAGCAATAAATCTTGTGATTCATACAAACGTGATCCTTCATTTGCACTCCGGATTATGTAATGATAGGTACAATACTCTTGACACCCACTGAGTCCTGGGTAAATAGCAGGCTACCCTAAGGTGCCCTGAGCTGCTGCTCCTGCTGCCTCAGCATCTAGAGTGCTAGGATTCTAGGCACGTGCCACCATGTCAGGCTTTGTCTGGTTGAGACAGAGCTCCCTCTGTAGCCCAGGCCAGCCTAGGAACTCTCAGCAATCCCCATGCCTCCGCTTCCAAGTGCTGAGATTACAGTCTCCATCTTGGGGTATTCTGACACCGTCTCACTGTCTTCAAACAGACTTCCCTACCTAGGGCAGCTCATTCTTAGAGTTAACAAAGAGCTCTCTACCAGGGACATGGCTTTTATCCGCAAACCAACCAATTTATTTGATTCTCATCGTCATCTAGCATTTCTACTCTCATAAGTGAGCTGAAGCCCATTGGCAGGTGCCAGGCAACTAGACACCACTTCCATAACCCCAAACCCACAGAATTATTCCAGTTGTCCAGTGTAAGCTGCCAGCCCTGCTGTTCCCTTGGGAATGCCAACAGTGGCTCTGCCTCATGCTCTCCCTCATTCAAGTTTATTTTCAGTGACTAGGCTAGCTTAGAACTTACTATGCAGCCCAGAATGACCTCGACTCATGATTCTCATGCCTCGGTCTCCTAAAGCTGGAATTGCAGGTACATGTCAACACACCCAGCCTTCTCTCCTCATACTTGTCTTCATGTAGTTAATCCAAACCTGCTGCTTCCCATTATCCCTGCCTGACTCCATTCATTCCACCTCCGGAATGGGTCTGTAAATGCACTCCTCTTCCTTCCAAGTCTCATTCTGGTCCTCTCCATTGCTTGTAAAGTCTTTCCCATCCCACCTTCAACATCTGCATCCTTAGTACCCCGCAGGTATCAAGGAAGGGATTCAAAGAGTACAGGACAGAAGAACAGCCAAACGTCAAACTCACCTTGATGAAGCCTTGGCGAGGACAGAAAATTAGCCACACAGAAGAAATCTCCTGGGTTGGGGAGATCCTTACAGTGGAAGGCTAGAGTCAGAGGTCCTTTGCCTTGAGTGATCAACACAAATAAGCCTCCTGGGAGCAAAGATGAGAAATGGTCCTCAGGAAAGGGCACCGGGGCTGGGGAGGTGACTCAGTTGATGAAGCACTGGCTTGGAGTTAAGTGAAGTGGCCCACATCCGTAATTCCAGCCCTTGAGAAGGTGGAGAATGGAAGGTCAGGAGTTGAAGGCCATCCTGTGTCACGTTTCAAGTTCAAGGTCATCTAAGGCTATATGAGACGGCCTCAAAAACATAAAAATAATCAACTTTAAAAGGGAAAATGGAGAGAGGGCTGAGAGTAACCTGTCTCAAAATTATTCCAGACAGATCTGTAGTATTCATGGTGTCACATGCCTGTCATGGCAGAACTTGGTAGGTAGAGCCCCGAAGATCAGGACTTTAAGGTGATCCTATGGACCGGCCAATTCTACATGACACAAAGTTTCAAAAAACCACCCTTGAAACAACTGTTAACAGGGGCTGGAGAGATGGCTCAGTGGTTAAGAGCACTGACTGCTCTTCCAGAGGACCTAGGTTCAATTTCTAGCACCCACAAGGAAGCTCACAACTGTTTGTAAATCCAGTTCCAGGGGACCCGACACCGATGGCAAAACACCAATGCACATAAAATAAAAATAAAATAAATTTTTGAAAAACCCCAACTTTTAACATTAACGAAAATGTTAGTTGTGTTGATCGAGGAACTGTCAGACAAGCAGCTCCTTTACTAGCAATGAGCTGCACAGACCTCGTGGAAGCTCTGCTATTTGTGGACAGTTTACAATCACTGTGAGGTATTTACAGAAACTGCAGAGAACCACTGTCACCATGGCTACAAACCTCTTCCCGAGTGGCCACTCCAGACAGCCTGCACTGGCTTTGTAAAGCAGCACCCCCAAGACAGGGCTGGTGGATTCTACATGACTATGTACGCATTTTTATCATCTGGTATCCCACCAGAAGGGTTATGATTGGTACAATACAATCCTTCATTTGATAAAGGGCTATATATGATTGGTGCAACATTCTCGGGAGACACCCTTGCAGGTTGAAAGAGGGCTGTTGGCTGGCTGGCTGGCTGGCTGGCTGGCTGGCTAGCTTGTTTCCTTGCTTGCTTGCTTGCTTGCTTGCTTGCTTGCTTGCTTGCTTGCTTGCTTGCTTTTAGAGTCAGGTATAACCCAGTCTGGCCCCAGACTGGTAAAGTAACCACGAATGATCTTGAACTCCTGACCCTTTTGCTTCAGCCTACTGAGGCTGAGATACTATAGGCATGTGTCAACACAGCCTGCTTTCTTTTGTTTACTTGAGACAGGGTCTCACGTTATATCCCTGCTTTCCTAGAACTAACAGTGATCCTTGTGCCTCTGCCACCTGCATACTGAGTGTATAGGTGAGGTCCACCACCACACCTGCCTCACATCCTGTGTCTTTGGATATTTTGACATCATCCAAAGCCTGCTGCTTAGGACAGACTTCTCCTTCCAGGGTAATAGTCTCAGGGATAACAAAGAACTCTCTACTAGAGTCATGACTCATTCACAAACCAACCTATCCTGAGTCTGTGCACACAAAACATTTCCTTACTTACCTCTCACACTCAGTGTAGTATTTCTCCCTCCCCAAATCAGCCAGGGACAGAGACCAGGCAACTAGACACTACTCCTACACACAAACCTTCCAGAAATATTCCAGTCTATTCTGCTTTGGCTTGCCTTTCCTTCAAGAACACCAATAAAGGCTCCAGCCCAGGCTCTGCTCTCACTGGAAATTACTGTAATGCCCAGAATGACCCCAAACTCAGGGTTCTCGACTTCTGCTCCTGAGCAATGGGATATAGCATTTTCCTCCACATTGAAACACTTATCCTGGAGAGAGGCTCCTTAGGACTCAGGAAGTTCTAAACTGAAATATTCCATCCCAGGGATAGGCTTGTTAAGGCTCATGAGTAAGCAACTTGCAGGTCTCAGGGAGTTCCTGAAAGCTTACAAGATTCCCAGGGCCCCTCCAAAGTGAAAATGAACAGTAAGGGTTTCTGGGAAAGGGAGACTCCAGAAAAATCATGCAGAGAGCCGCAGGGATGCAGCTTTCCTGAGACATCACCCAAGCCAGCGAAGGCTTTTTGGTGATGCAGCTGACTGTCAATCAACCATGCTCCTGTAAGTATCCTTCACCTGAGCTCTGTAGGGAGCCACAACTCATTTGTTCAATAAACTGGACTCGGATGGAATAATTTCTTTGGTATATCATTTGTGCCCTATCTGGGCTAAATCACCCTTTATTCCTATCTCTCCAGGAAAAGCCACAGCACAGTTATTCAAGCATACATCACCACACCCAGATTCTGTCCTCATTACTGATTCTTGTGTTTGAGCCAAGCCTGATGCTTACTTAATGTTGGCCCTGCCTGACATATGGCATCATACCTTTCAAGGTGGGTCAACATTTAAAACATCACCTTGCATCCTGCCTTGAGACAGTGAGGTCTTTATCATCCCAACCCCAACAAAAGCATCCCAAGTAAACTGTAGGTGTGAAGGAAGGAGTAGGGAGAGAATATGGTAGAAGATAAGCTGGATGTCTTCTCAGCAAAGCCTTCTGAAGGCAGAGATTAATTACACAGAGGAAATCTTCCAGCTTAGGAGATCATGGTGAAAGGTGAATGAGGAGAAAAGATCATTAGGGTTGGAGGTCATGTGACCTGAGTGACTGACAGGTAGCACAGATCAGCCTCAGGGCTCCCACCCCCCAACCCCCCACCGCCCCGACAGGGTTTCTCTGTTTAGTTTTGGTACCTGTCCTGGATCTTGCTCCGGAGATCAAGTGCTGGGATTAAAGGTGTGCACCACCATTGCCCGGCCCTCAGGGTAGTTATTACACAGAGATTTTAGGACTAGGGCTGTAATGTTATTACACAGAGATTTTAGGACTAGGACTGTAATATTGTGGAATATTATTTTAAGGTGTGTTACATTTGTTTATGCTGTGGAACATTCGTTGTTTAATGATGCAAAGATGTGTTGCATTCTTTTATGTTGCATTTGTTTAACTCTGTGAGGCTGTGTTACTTTGCCTGTCTAAAATAACTGATGGGTGTGTGGGTTCACGAGGATCTGTGGAAAGAAGACTCAGAGGCATCTTAAGAATAAATCTAGCTTTTCATGGCTGCAGGGAGGTCCAGCCTTGAAGGACTGAAACACTTTCCCTTTGCCTAGAGCAGTTTTATTTACTCTCTATTTACAGTTTAGCCAGTTAATTTCCAAACCTTCAAAGCAACCCAATAGGAGCTCCCAGAGATAAAATGCCAAGTGCAAATTACTTGATTTCTCAGGTACCACGGTTTTCCAGGTTTCCTGGACCAAGTTTTGCATAGGCCTTTGATCCTTGGGAGACTCTCTGATCCTTGACTCTCAGACAAGAGTCACGTAGGAAGATAAGAGAAACCGAAGGTGTGGTTAAACAAAGGAAGGATTAGGGCGAGGTGCTGCTCTCCGGAGCCAGGCCAGGAGCTCAGCAGGAACACAGCCACACTAGGCTCTTTCAAAGGACCCTGGTTTGATTTCCAGCACCACACGGCAGCTAACAACCACTTGTAACTCTAGTCCTAGGGGGTCCCTCCCCACTTGGCCTCCACAGGCATTAGGTATACACATTGTACACAGGTATACATGCAGGTAAAACACTCCTACGCACAAAACCAAAAACAATCAATCGCCAAACAAACCTCAACCCAGAGTAGTTCTGTTGAGCGGGGAAGTGTCCGTCAACTGCCCCTCACTAGAACCCAGCTGCACTGCCCCTCACTCCGTCCTGGTTGCTCTGGACACAGTCCTGGTTCGTTTTTATCGTTAAATGACACGATCTAGGGTCATCTGGGAAGAGGGAACATCAACTGAAGAGTGAGCTAGATCAAACTGGCCTGTGGCCATAGCTGAGACTCTCTTGATTGATGATTGATGTGGGAGGGCCCAGCACACGTGGGCAGCACTGAACCTGGCAGGAGGCCTGGGTTCTAGATAAGAAAGCTAGCTGAACATGAGCGAGCCCATAAGCAGCATTCCTGCATGGTCTCTGCTTCAGTTCCTGCTGAGTTCCTGCCTTGACTTCCCTCAGGGATGGACTGCAATTTGCAAGTGTAAGTCAAGTAAATCTTTCTTCCCAAGCTGCTTTTGGTCAGAGTGTTTCATCGGAGCCACAGAAAGCCAACTAGAACAGATGCTTTAGTCACTGTGAGGACACTCTGGTAGCTACAGAGAGAGGATCACTACTCACCTTGATGAAGCCTTGATTAATCTTCCCGGTAAGGGAGACCCAATGAAAGGAGGGAAATGACCACTAGGGTCGGAGGCCCTCTGACCTGAATGATCTTGGTCAGCACTGGCAGCCTCCTAAGAGGAAAGAGGAAGGACTGGAATTAAGGAAGGAGGGCAGGAGGCTGAGAATGGTTCAGTGGTTAAGAGTACTGACGGCTCTCCCTGAGGAGCTAGGTTCAATCCCCAGCTCCCAAACGGCAGTTTACAACTGCCCGTGACTCCCGTTCCAGGGGATCCAACACCCTCTTCTGGCATTTGTGGACACCAGGCATGCACATAGTGCACAGACATACATGTAGGCAAAACACTCATGCACAAATAAAAATTTAAAAGTATCAAACTACACATGTGCTTGTGTGTATATATTATAGATATATGTATATGTACATATATCTAGCACCCGCCCCCATTAGTCCTGTCAAGTGGGGACCTGCCTGTCAAGCAGCCCCTTCACTGGCTGGCTGAACTGCTCTCACATCAGCCCTGCTGCTGTGGACACTTTACAGTTACTGTGGGGTCACCCAGCAGCTGCAGAGGACCATACAACCGTGTCTGAAGACCTGTTCCACCTATGAATGCTCTAAGACAGGCTTCAGTGGCCCTGGAAAGCAGCAGTCCTAAGCAAGACAGTGCTAGTGAAGTCTAGATGACCCTGCAGCCGTGTCCTATCTCAAAGCCTGTGACTGGTGCAAGCAAAAGCTCTCATTACTGAAGCACTTTGTCATTACTGATACAGTAAACTTGTCACACAATCCCTCCTGGGTAAATAAGTAGACTAGTGGCTAACTGGGCTTTTTTTGTTTGGTTTTGGCTTCTTGAGACAGTGTCTTATGTAGGCCAGGATGACCCCAAGCTGAGATAACCAAAATGCCCTCGGTGCTGGGATTAATGGCATGTGACATCAAGCCAGACTTTGTTTTATTTGAGACAGGGTCTCACATTGTAGCCCAGGCTCGTCTGGAACCCACAACAATTTGCACAATTTGCATGCCTCTGACACCTGAGTGCAGGGCTTCTGGGTGTGTATTACTACACCTGTCATAATCTCAGTCTTAGGTAGTTTTGACATCATCTATAAATTGGAGGCTTGGGACAGACTCCCCAGTCCCACAGTAGATGAGTCATTAAGACAGTAAAGATCTCTCCGAGGAGGATGACTTTCATTTACCAGAGGTACACCAGAGACAGAGGCAGGAAGGTCTCTGTGAGTTCGAGGCCATTCTAGTCTACATAGTGAGTTCCAGGCCAGCCAGAGCTCTATAGTAAGATCCTGTCTCAAACACACACTCAATCCAAACCATTCAATACTGAGTCGATCCTCCCAACAACTTCTTTATTAAGTGTCATACTCAAGGCAGTATTTATCATTCCCTAAGTCACCCGTTGTATTTACCAGGCAAGTAGATATCATTCCTACAACCCAAACCCACCAAATTCTTCCAAACGACTGATAGTAAGAAACATATTCCGCCCTGGCTTGCTTTTCCTTCAGAAATGTCAATTAAGATCTTGTTCTAGGCTCTTCTTTCATTCCACACTCCATTCTTTGAGAGCCCAAAGCTAGCTTGAAACACACTATTTTCCCCAGAATGACCTCAAACTCATGACTCTCCTGCCTCAGCCTCCTGAGTAGTAGGATTCCACGCCCACACCAAGCTCTCTATGTCATCCTCATCTTGTCACTTGACGCAAACCTCATGCTTCTTCACGCTCCGACCTGGCATGTGGCACCTCCTCTCTGGGCGAGATCTGTGACTGTCTAGCCATCTTCCTTCTAGGCCTCACTCTGGTCCCTCCTGTGTCGGGAAGGCCTTCTTCATTCACTCCATCATCTGCATGCCAGTATGCTACAAGCATCTGTGGGAGAGACTGGGAGAGAAGACGACAGAAGATGAGCTTGGTCTAACTCGCCCAGATGAAGAGTGGGAAGAGATGGAATGTTAAACATGAGGAAGTCTCCCCATCAGGAAGACCCTGATAGTGAAGAAGAATGACCACTGATATGGAAGGGCCTCTGGCCTGAGTGTAGAGCTCTCTCTATTGGCATTAGTATTAAAAAGCTACTACTTCTTGGCCAGATGGTGGTGGCTCACGCCTTTAATCCAAGCACTCGGCAGACAGATGCCGGTGGATCTCTGTGAGTTTGAAACCAGCCTGGTCTACAGAGTGAGTTGCAGGCCAGCCAGGACTAAACAGAGAAACCATCTTAATAAAAACAAAACAATAATAAACAAAACAAAACAAACAAAAAAAACTACTTCCTAGGCACAAAAAATGAGGGACTACCATTAAGAAAGGATATTAGAGCTCAGAATGTACTTCAGTTGGTTGTGTGCTTATCTAGTGTGGTCAAAACCCAGAACATTAATCCCTGTAACCAAGCCTGGTGACACAGTTCTGTAATACCAGCCCTCGGGGAGACTGAGGCAGAAGTGAGACAATATGCATAGGGAGAGCATAGCCAAGGGGACTCAGGCTGTGCACACATCCCTCGCCTAACAGTGCACCTAGGAGCTGGGGCCTCCACCTTTGTCAGGACGCATCTATATTTGCTTTGCTGTTGTTGTTGTTGTTGTTGTTGTTTGTTTTTGAGACAGGATTTCTCTGTGTAGCTCTGGCTGACCTGGAACTTGCCCTGTAGACCAGGCTGGCCTTCAACTTACAGATCCATTTGCCTTCGACTCCTGAATGCTGGGATTAAAGGTGTGTGCCACCACACCTGGCTGCTTTATTTTCTTTAATGTTTATTTATTTATTTGTTTGTTTGTTTGTTTGTTTATGCATTGTGAGTCACTGTGTGTGCCACAGCGTGCATGTGGAAGTCAGAGAACATCTTTTGGTATTTGGTTCTCTCCTTTTAGCCAGTGGATTCCAGGGATCAAACAGGTTAGCAGGCTTTATTGTAAGCACCTTAGGCTGAGCCATCATAAGCCTGTATATCTATCTGCTCTCAACAATAAAAATTACTCCTGCTAGCAAACCCCCTGATACACCTTGTTTCTATTCAAACATGCTCTGAAAGAGATGTATCTGGGAAGGGAAACAGGGTTGGTTTGGTCTGGACTGGTTTGGGGTTCATATGCAAAAAGAAAAATTGTGTGTTCATGGTGAACTTTTAGGATAAAACCCTATTTGCCATCTTATTTCTGCACATAATTGAGTGTGCACATGATTAAAGTGGATGCATCATGAGAAGGTGTAAGGAGTAAAGGAAGCCCCGAGTGAGTGACCTCCTGAGTGAACACATACTGTTGACATGGGCCTGGTCCCATGGGGTAGCAAAACCTTTGCCAGGTGAGACTCAGAGGGATGGCAGAGCTTTCCTCCAGAGTCTCAGTGCAAATGTCACCAGTGTGTGCAGAAAATGTCTACCATAGCTTCTTACCCAGACATCTGTGGCCTGAAGACTGCTCCTTTAGAGAGTGCCCCTATCCAGCTGTGTACAATAACTCAGCCTCCTTGTTTGTATGTAACAACCCCATCTCCCACTTCAACCGTATACAATAACTTTCCCTTCCTATTCAACTGTGTGTGGTAAACACACTGAATTTCTGGAGTGCTGTGGTTTTTCCGTCAGAGAGCCCAGTCCATCCAAACCCAGATTTTCTGTGTGTCTGTCCATTTCTCTCTTCTTTATTTCCTGGTTGCCCTAGTCAGGCCCATCCCTGGAGCAGTACTGGACATGGCAAGAAGGAGCATACTCAATATATAAAAGATTATATAACCCCAAACTGTCAATCAAAATAAGAGATCCACAGCCAGGCAC